GGATGCCGCCGTCCCTGGGAGGGTCCAATGAGTCCCAGCCGCCCTTGGAAGGGTCCCCGACACACCTGGGTCGCTTCAGGGGGCACCACCTTACCTGGGTAGAATCCAGGTCCCCCGCTGCCTCTCGGTGGGTCCCTGGGGCGTCCGCTGTCCCTGGGTGGGTCTCAAGTACCCCGGGCACTCCTATGAAGTTCCCTGCCGCATCTGGGAGGTTCCCTGAGAGCGCCAGCCCTGTATGGTCTCTGAGGGCAGTTGTTTTTGTGATATTTTTAGCGCGGGGAGATGCAACTACATCCCCCATCATCACATTTCCAGTATTATCGCATCCTCAACAACGAAATGGAGAATAATATCCAACAGGAAAACATAAGTTGGGGTGTTGTGCTGACTGACTGCTCTCTTCTCCTATTGGCTGTAATTTAGTGGGTATATATTTTAGTCCTCCACTCACATTTAAGTAAGGATCTGATGGACTTATGTAATATGCGCCAAGGCACGACCAGGTATGCTATAGGGCCCCTAAAAGTGCGTCTCCTTGACTGTCCCAAGGACCCCCACCGCCCCTGAAGGGTCCCAGGGCCCCATGCCGTCCCTTGGAGGACCGCAACGGATCCCACCTTCCCTGGAAAGGTCCCTAGGGGCGCTCTCACACCTGGGAAGGTACCGCGTGCCTCCACTGCCCCTGAGAGGGTCCTTAGTACCCTCCCGCTTCTGGGTGGGTTGCAGGGGCCCTGCCGCCCTTAGGAGGGTTCCTGGGGCCCCCACGATCCATGGGAGGATTCCAGGGAGCGAAGCCGTCCCTGGGAGGGTCCAATGAGTCCCAGCCGCCTTTGAAAGGGTCCCTGACACACCTGGGAGGACCCCAGAGGAGACCACCTTACCTGGGTGGGACCCAGAATCCCGCTGCTTCTGGGTGGGTCCCTGGGGCCTCCGCTGCCCCTGAGTGTGTCCCAAGGGCCCCGGCCACTCCTAGGAGGTTCCCTGCTGTACCTGGGAGGTTCCCTGAGAGTGCCAGCCCTGTATGATCTCTGAAGGCAGTTGTTTTTGTGTTATATTGAGCGCTGGGAGATCCAGCTACATCGCCCATCATCACACATTTCCAGCATTATCGCATCCTTAACAACGGAATGGAGAATAATATCCAACAGGAAAACATAAGTTGGGGTGTTGTGCTGACTGACTGCTCTCTTCTCCTATTGGCTGTAATTTGGTGGGTATATATTTTAGTCCACCAATCACATTTAAGTAAGGAACTGATGGACTTATATAATGTGTACCAAGGCACGACCAGGTATGCTATAGGGCCCCTAGGAGTGCGGCCCCTGGAGTTTCCCAAGGGCCCCCACCTCCCCTGTATGGTCCCAGGGCCGTCTGCCATCCATGAGGGGGTCCCAGCGGGTCCTGCCTACCCTGGAAGGGTCCCTAGGGTCGCTGTCACACATGGAAAGGTACGGCGGGCCTCCACCGCCCCTGGAAGGGTCCTTAGTAACCTCGCCGCTTCTAGGGGGGTTGCAGGGGCCCTGCCGGGGGTGTTGCAGGGGCCCTGCCGACCCTAGTAGGGTTCCTGGGGCCCCCACCATCAATGGAAGGATTTCAGGGGACGCCGCCGTCCCTGGGAGAGTCCAATGAGTCCCAGCCACCCTTGGAAGGGTCCCCGACACACCTGGGTAGATTTTAGGGGGCACCACCTTACCTGGGTGGAATCCAGGTCCCCCGCTGCCTCTCGGTGGGTCCCTGGGGCCTCTTCTGTCCCTGGGTGGGTTACCCCCGGCACTCCTATGAGGTTCCCTGCCGCATCTGGGAGGTTCCCTGAGAGCGCCAGCCCTGTATGGTCTCTGAGGGCAGTTGTTTTTGTGATATTTTTAGCGCGGGGAGATGCAACTACATCCCCCATCATCACATTTCCAGTATTATCGCATCCTCATCAACGAAATGGAGAATAATATCCAACAGGAAAACATAAGTTGGGGTGTTGTGCTGACTGACTGCTCTCTTCTCCTATTGGCTGTAATTTGGTGGGTATATATTTTAGTCCACCAATCACATTTAAGTAAGGAACTGATGGACTTATATAATATGTGCCAAGGCACGACCTGATATGCTATAGGGCCCCTAGAAATGCGGCTCCTGGACTGTCCCAAGGATCTCCACCGCCCCTGGAGGGTCCCAGGGCCCCATGCCGTCCCTGGTAGGATCTCAATGGATTCCACATTCCCTGGAAAGGTCCCTAGGGGCGCTGTTACACCTGGGAATGTACCGCGGCCCTCCACCGCCCCTGGGAGGGTCATTAGTATCCTCCCGCTTCTGGGAGGGTTGCAGGGGCCCTGCCGCCCTTAGGAGGGTTCCTGGGGCCCCCACGATCCATGGGAGGATTCCAGGGAGCGAACTCGTCCCTGGGAGGGTCCAATGAGTCCCAGCCGCCTTTGAAAGGGTCCCTGACACACCTGGGAGGTCCCCAGAGGAGACCACCTTACCTGGGTGGGACCCAGAATCCCGCTGCTTCTGGCTGGGTCCCTGTGGCCTCCGCTGCCCCTGGGTGCATCCCAAGGACCCGGCCACTCCTAGGAGGTTCCCTGCTTTACCTGGGAGGTTCCCTGAGAGCGCCAGCCCTGTATGGTCTCTGAGGGCAGTTGTTTTTGTGATATTTTTAGCGCGGGGAGATGCAACTACATCGCCCATCATCACATTTCCAGTATTATCGCATCCTTAACAACGAAATGGAGAATAATATCCAACAGGAAAACATAAGTTGGGGTGTTGTGCTGACTGACTGCTCTCTTCTCCTATTGGCTGTAATTTGGTGGGTATATATTTTAGTCCACCAATCACATTTAAGTACGGAACTGATGGACTTATTTAATATGTACCAATGCACGACCAGGTATGCTATAGGGCCCCTGGGAGTGCGGCCCCTGGAGTGTCCCAAGGGCCCCCACCTCCCCTGTATGGTCCCAGGGCCGTTTGCCATCCCTGAGGGGGTCCCAGCGGGTCCTGCCTACCCTGGAAGGGTCCCTAGGGTCGCTGTCACACCTGGGAAGGTACGGCGGGCCTCCACCGCCCCTGGAAGGGTCCTTAGTAACCTCGCCGCTTCTAGGGGGGTTGCAGGGGCCCTGCCGGGGGTGTTGCAGGGGCCCTGCCGACCCTAGTAGGGTTCCTGCGGCCCCCACCATCAATGGAAGGATTACAGGGGACGCCGCCGTCCCTGGGAGAGTCCAATGAGTCCCAGCCGCCCTTGGAAGGGTCCCCGACACACCTGGGTAGATTTTAGGGGGCACCACCTTACCTGGGTGGAATCCAGGTCCCCCGCTGCCTCTCGGTGGGTCCCTGGGGCCTCCGCTGTCCCTGGGTGGGTTACCCCCGGCACTCCTATGAGGTTCCCTGCCGCATCTGGGAGGTTCCCTGAGAGCGCCAACCCTGTATGGTCTCTGAGGGCAGTTGTTTTTGTGATATTTTTAGCGCGGGGAGATGCAACTACATCGCCCATCATCACATTTCCAGTATTATCGCATCCTCAACAACGAAATGGAGAATAATATCCAACAGGAAAACATAAGTTGGGGTGTTGTGCTGACTGACTGCTCTCTTCTCCTATTGGCTGTAATTTGGTGGGTATATATTTTAGTCCACCAATCACATTTAAGTACGGAACTGATGGACTTATATAATATGTACCAATGCACGACCAGGTATGCTATAGGGCCCCTGGAGTGTCCCAAGGGCCCCCACCTCCCCTGTATGGTCCCAGGGCGTCTGCCATCCCTGAGGGGGTCCCAGCGGGTCCTGCCTACCCTGGAAGGGTCCCTAGGGGCGCTGTCACTCCTGGGAAGGTACGGCGGGCCTCCACCGCCCCTGGGAGGGTCCTTAGTACCCTCGCCGCTTCTGGGTGAGTTGCAGGGGCCCTGCCGCCCCTAGTAGGGTTCCTGGGGCCCCCACCATCAATGGAAGGATTACAGGGGACGCCGCCGTCCCTGGGAGGGTCCAATGAGTCCCAGCCGCCCTTGGAAGGGTCCCTGACACACCTGGGTCGCTTTAGGGGGCACCACCTTACCTAGGTGGATTCCAGGTCCCCCGCTGCCTCTCGGTGGGTCCATGGGGCCTCCGCTGTCCCTGGGTGGGTCTCAAGTACCCCCGGCACTCCTATGAGGTTCCCTGCTGTACCTGGGAGGTTCCCTGAGAGCGTCAACCCTGTATGGTCTCTGATTGCAGTTGTTTTTGTGTCATTTTTAGCGCTGGGAGATCCAGCTACATCCCCCATCATCACATTTCCAGTATTATCGCATCCTTAACAACGAAATGGAGAATAATATCCAACAGGAAAACATAAGTTGGGGTGTTGTGCTGACTGACTGCTCTCTTCTCCTATTGGCTGTAATTTGGTGGGTATATATTTTTGTCCACCAATCACATTTAAGTAAGGAACTGATGGACGTAAATAATATGCACCAAGGCACGACCAGGTATGCCATAGAAAAGCCCCGGGAATGCCCCGTTATATCACTGAAACTTTCTTCGGGGCTTTCCTGGGGCTTTCGTTTAATAATTCCTCACTTAGATAACGGCTACACTCCATATTCTTAAATCATCTTCCCAGGCCCGTCTACTGTCTACTCGTCATAAATAAGGCAGAAATGAATAGCAAAATTGTCCTCTGTTGAAGAGTGAAATACATGTAAACCTGACCACAGTGTCATCTGCTCTAGAACTAGGTAAAGGCGTCCCACAGACCATGACACCCTGGGTAGAAGAAAAGAAACGAAGAAGTTATTTGCATACATATTGCTTAAGATCCCTGGTGGAGGAGATGTTTGCAGAGCCTCTTGATTTACTGGCAAAATGTAGTCTATAAGCTATTATGTTTTGTCTATCCTGCTACAAAATAAAGTTGTAGATCTACACCAAAATATTGATTTCTAGGAATTCCATAGATAAGTTTAATTAGAGATGAATGATTATCCTCTCAAAACTTAAGGTGTTTAAATAAAACTTCCTCGTCAGAACTGAAGAGATATTTATATATTAATCAAACATTTCTTGGAAGTTCATTGTTGAAGGTAAATCAATGTGGTATCTCAGTCTTGTTCTCACATCAGATGGCTTCGGAAAATGGCGATCTTGAAGTCCTGCTTGTCGAGACACCTCTGAAAAGTAGATTAGATATTTTAAGGAATATGAACGATGATAATTAAATGTGATACAGGTTCACTATTAAGAAAACGTACGTCTCAGTTTATTATGTAACAAAACAGAGATTTCACTGTTTATTGATATTTTCTATATAATAACCAACGAGCTTTTCTAGCTAATGGATAGTAGTTTCGCCTACCAGTACATTATTGAAAAAATCAATGGTAAATAATATATTAGAAATAACAGTTATATTTTTATTCTCTCTAACAATCATTTTGATCATAATTTAAACTATTAAAACCAAAGATTAAGAGCAGTATATTTCAGCTAATACAAACTACCAACAAAAACAGTAATGAAATGTCGAAACCAATCAATAAATCATAGTTCTGTATTTATCACATCAGAGTTTGAAATCTAACTAAAGTCCTTCGGTTGTCAAAGGAATCAATTCCACAGTAATTAGAGAGGATCATCTATACTGCAGAAGAAACTAAAAACATATTTTATATTTTTATCTTAGCTGGTGTGAAAAACTATGGAGGGTGAGTGGATACAGCGCTCGCCTAGGGGTCGGTGGTTCGATCCCGGGGCACTTCCAGTCCACCCAGCTGTACAAGTTAGGGAAGTGAAGTGCAATCTGTATTCAATGAATCTTTTCTATCATGAGCCCCGACAATATTCATTTGTGTGTTCTAACGTAACATCACACCCACTCACCTGTGTGTTATACAGTACAACACATATATGAGGATGTAGTGTCGTGTCGCAACATGCATCACCTGAATGTTGCAAAACACTATTATAAACGTGTTCTCCTTTAACAACACACACTCACCAATGTGTTGTCCTGCAGCAACATACACTGAGTGTTGTTCTGTGTCAACAAAACAGTTTCTCCTATTTGGTAAAAACGATAGTTATGTTTTAAGGATTAACCGAGAGATTATTACACGTGTTTGTTATTTTGGGTGACGTACAGTACATGCACAGTGATTCAAAGGCTGAATAGTGTACAGTATAGCTACTTTAAATGATTCAATAATATATATAATCGGTGTGTAATCCTTGCCAAAGACTAAATATCATAAACTTATGGTTAAGTTCACATTTAATCAATAAAACTGAGTAAACTTGGTGCTCCGGTGGGGATCAGGGTGAGACGAGTGGCAGCTCACACTGATGTGACCCGTCACGACCAGAACTACCTGGCCGCATCTCAATTCTATTCAACTAAACAATATTATTCCGTCAATACTAGATTCTGTTAACCAATTATCCAATCCATCAATTGTTTTTAAATCAAGAATTCATAAAATTTTCCTGCAATATCTCTAAATTTTGAGGAAATATTGATTATCAATTGATTATGCACCATTCAATCATCACCGGGACACAGCATCAGGAAGCCATGTCCAACAATCCAGTAGTAAATATGTAAAGCAGTGAAAATATATTTTATTTGGGTATAAAGGGAATATGATGCCAGTGGGGTTAATTATCTGTCAATGCTGTAGTTTGTTATATATGCACCTGTGCTGTGATGACTAGATTGGAATAATTCAATATTAATTACGTTCAATTAGTTTTAACCTTATTTAGCTTTGCAAGTTAATGGGTAAAATCAATTATTCATTTTTTTATAAACTTGTTGACAGCATAACATTTGGACGTTCCGAAAATAGGGTTGGAATATAATTTAAGCTCCAGTAGGTGAGTAGATCATTTGAGTTCTGATTTTGGATAGGTATATTATTTTGTGCAGTTAGTATTGTAAAGTTAAAACAAAATTAACAAGATAAACCAACTCTGGTATTTGCTGTTACCTCAAGATGAAAAATCACTGTTTTTCTCACCATTTTAGCTTCTGGTTTGTTTTAGCATATAGTATTTGATAATTTAGGCATGTGTGATGATATAGCATGGCATCTGATGTTCTATGAAGTGTATAGATTGTATTACCACACACACACACACACACACACACACACACACACACACACGAAATAATGTTTATGTGCTTTACAAATACAAAAAATAATAATAAGCTTTAAATAAACTAAAAAATTAAGTTGAATGTTCTAATTATACAAGAAATAAAGTTAATAAAGTTACCGCGTGTGTGTGTGTGTGTGTGTGTGTGTGTGTGTGTGTGTGTGTGTGTCAACCCCGACTGTAACGCGTTCCTCTCCCAGATGGTGAAAGATGTAATTAATTAACCTGAGGTAAACCTCCTCCTGCCTCACCCTCCGCCTCTTATCCTACATCTCTGTTTAGTTCCTCTAGTTTATTACCATCCTCTCTTCCGATTTGTTTTTCATTATCCAATATTCCTCTCTCTCTCTCTCTCTCTCTCTCTCTCTCTCTCTCTCTCTCTCTCTCTCTGTCAAAAACACTCACTAGAAATATGTGATTATCGTGTAAGATGGACCCAGTGAAATCAAGACACAGGTTTCCATTCTCTCAAGACTGGTGGCTGGGTTGTGGCAAACTGTTCCCTCCTCCTCAAGGTAACATGAGGTGGGTTTCTGGGTAATGTTCAGTGTGCACATTGTGTTTAATTACCCTCGCTTACGGTAATTTATGCTGTTTGCTGCTGACAGGAAGGATTCTTTGTAGTTTATGCATTATGTAGATTTTATCGTTTGCATATTTTGAAATTTTTGTAAATGTAGAAAAATTGGATTGAATAAAGTTTTGTTTTAAAAATTCTAAGCTGATGATTATAAACTTTGGACGGGTAAGCGTGGTGTTCATAAACAGCTTAACTTCCCATTTTAGGTATAATAAATTATATATATTACTTAAATTATCGTAATTGTAGTAAAATACTTTTTTTATTAAATCAGTTTCTCAATATTTTATCTTCCGAGTTAAAATTTATGCAATATTGTTATGTAGTATCTTTATATACATGTGTGTGTGTGTGTGTGTGTGTGTGTGTGTGTGTCACCCTTCAACTCAATAAATACTTTAAATATCATCTTATACCAATTTTACCTATCTTGAACTTCATTACTTAACTTGACTGAATATGAACAAAATTTAACATAACTTGTCCTCTGAGTATTGTTCAGGTACAAACTAATTATATCGCTCTACAGAGAACTGGAATTTTAATGAAGGTCCATCAAACACTGGAGCTCTTTGTTGTGTAGCTTGATGTGCTGCTTCGTGATCCAAATGCGAGAGTAACACTATGAAGTTTGAGAATGCATTTAGTATACAGAATATGGTTCACGTAAGGCTGTAAGCTAACACCAAGATGATGAAATATCTTGCTTTACGACACAAGGCCTCACACTAAATATACAACCCTGTAACTTGTCTCACATTACATACATCGGTCATCTTATTTTTAGGGTTACTTATTTATTCATTCACTCCAGTTAAAAATATCACCAACACTTACGTACTGTACGGTCTGAATCTATCCACAGCTTGGCGAACCAGTGTACAGAACAGGAGACGAATGCTGCATCCATTAGGCCACCGCGTACTGCCTCAGTTGAAAGCCAGGGTTTTATTTGATTTTTTTTAACTGGACAGATGATATGTGAAGATATCATTTTGACTTTTGAACTTACTGATCTAATTGAAGCGAAAGAAGCTCCAACATAATGCCTTTACGATGTTATTTTGTAAATTTCAAGATTCGTGTTTCGGAGGACAAACACGTGATAATCTTGACCAGGATGGCAACAAGAATAATAATATGAAACTTGATATTTGACAATTTTCTTAAATTTCAACAGTAATTGTTCAGAAATCACCCCCAAGAAGCTTATCTTGAAATCTAAAAGCAACAGCTCTAAGCATTTACCAGCTGCAGTGTTAAAAGACAAAGATATGAACAGGTACACATGACTGAAAGAACACCGGAGCTGGTTAACTTAATAGAAAATTTATATTAGGATCAAAATGAAAAAGAAGGTTAAGGAGGAGCACTGGGGAAGCCTGTTTGAATGAGGGAGAAGCGCTTCAGGAAGTATTCCCACGTAAGTTATGGTGACTGAAGTTCACAGCAGCATTAATTATGAAATAAAGAGGTATTTAAAGTAGAGTTTCATAGAAGGAAGTGCAGGGTTGTGTCGTGACTCTAACACTCATCTCTGTCAGGACTCGCACACACAAGAGTGTCAAGGCTGCGCTTCCTGGCAGGAGGAAAGGTTATGAAAACGTAATATTGTTTGACCAACACACACACGCACACTCAGGTGTCAAAAGTGTGGTGAAAGGTTCACCTGCTTCCTGCTGCAGCTTTAACGGGCGTCTCTCCAGTTTTTTTACTATTTTTCGTTCTTAGTTTTCTCTCACTTTATCTCCCTCACTATTTCTAGACTTCCTGCTCACAAAATTCAGTGTTAATGCTTGCCTTTCCGTGTCCTTATTTTCAATGTTTAGCTGAGATGTTAATCATACTGTTATTGGTAATACGGCATTATGGTGCAGTTTGTCAGACGAAGTGTAACTATCAGAGTAAAACCTGATTTAGTATTTAATTTTTCTAAAAATTTGGTCAATAACTATTAAAACATACTACATGTTTTTCCCCGAAGTCAACGTTTGCTTTGAGTCGGACAGTTATAGAAATAGCTGCATTCTTGTACTCACAAAAAGCAATAATACTTGAAACTTTTACGTTTCTGGCTGACTGTGAGCCTCCTGGAACTGTATGGTTAAGTTGTCTGATACTAAAGTCACATTATTATATAAAAGAGGAGGATTCTGACTAGCCTGAATAGTTTGATTGTACAGTAAGTAGGAGTTATCTTCGTGGCAACAACGAATAATAATAATTTGTGACTTACAAATTATTTATTACTGATAATTAATCCATCTGGTCCACCAAAGTCTGTTCTAGGTCTCATTCTCACGTACTCAGCGAAGCTCTAGGTCACTAAATATGTTGTTCTCTTATTAAATATTACTGTAGACTTTTTTAGTCACTTTCCTCCTTTGTAATAACTCGTTATATTACAACATTACATTGTTAAATTTCAGAAAATTAAGATATAAAAAATAATGACACACATGATATATGTGACTCAAGATTTATAAGCCAAGAATCCTTAATTACAAGTTTCACTCCTTTTTCCATTTATCAAGTAACAATAATTGTCCCAACGTTATCACTGAAGTCAACTCAAGTTCAAAATCCCCTTTTGGAATATCTTCTCACTTAAACTTTATATAATAACCTTCAGCTAACCTTATAGTTATCGTCCGTCTTCTGGTTGACCTCATCCTTGTTCTTAAGATTATATTCACGAGGCTCCAGACGTGGGTGACCCTCATATCTGAAATATATTATCACAAACGTTAATAATTGTTTGATTCGTCTGACACACAACAGCAGGTCGTTCCTCATGCCTGAATACTTGACGTTCTCCTGGGAACTGCCTTTCTGTGGTGAATTTATAATAAGAATAATAATAATAATTAACGGTTTATTGAAAGAGCATAGCAGCCAGAGGGCTGAAAATATACAGTTACATAATTGGGGAATGGGTTTCGAAATACAAATAATATACAAATAACATAAGTGATATAAATAAGATATATAATAACTAGATGGGGAAAAGCTCGAACTACACGGCATTTCAATATAAGGACAGTGCAAGTGACAGTGTAATCATTTCTTTTTTCACATCTTAAGTCTTGTAATTCTATTTTTTATTCGGTATTTTGTGTTTCTAATTACACATTGAAATTAATTCTGATAAAAGGTTACTATCTTTCTTTTAAGAGCAATTAAACTCTTGCTCCACCTCTTCCCTCGTGTAACACAAAGAGAAAATAAATACAATAACTATGTTAGCATCAAATATATTATGTAGATGTTCCCGTCTCGTCATCTTCCAACTCTACACAATTTAGAACGTGTTTCTCCTATACTAGTAGCTTATATATTGTGACGGTAAGACGACTGCAGGTTAGGTAATAGGGAGGAAGTCGTCCACATGTGCCGTCTTTCAACAGTAAACAGTGGAGTATTGACTAAAGCAACAGAGGTCACATACTGGAGGGATATTTTTCATTATAATTTCCTCAGAACACAGATCATTAACATAAGGGCCAAACAATCAAAGAGAGAAGGGTGGTGAGTACAGAAGAGGAAGTTGAGAGGTAGCAGTTAGAAGCAGCCTCCTCCTTGGCCTTCAACCCTCACACTGACCCACGACCTTCACACACACTCTCCCTCCTATGATCTACGTCGCCTTGATCATTCCTCTATATAATACTCCGGGAAGTGTTCGAGGTCAACGTATGCCAAGGGGACTGACTCAGGCTCTCAGGATGATGATCATAATTGGTGGTGGGAGAGTCAGGTGACTCGGGTTCATTAGCGGCAGACAACGGGGTTTAAGAGGTCACCTCATCAGGATATAAAAAAACTTCGTCGCTAGGGATTCGCCTCTCAGGACGGGATGAAGAGGAATACCTGGGGATTTTCTGTTGTGCTCAAAGGATGAGTCATAAGTTTACCCTGAAATGGATCCTCTATAAAAGATGAGTCGAGGAACAAGGATCAGCGGTGTACCCTCAACACTAACTGGTACTGCACGTTCAGGTTTATGACAAAATACGATTACTCTTGACGGATATTTTAAGTATCCACCAAAATGATGATAATGATAATATAGTAAAATTAAATTCAGACAGTTAACACACTTACCGTTAATTAAGATTTAAAAAAGAAAAAAGAACAGAGAAAGACTATAGCCTTACGTGATGACCTCAGATGTTGACAACCAGAAAATCTAATAGAAGAAAAGAACTTGAAATTATTAATGTAATATTCATGTCTTGGGTAAGATTGTCCTCTGCCCAAATCAACTCTGAATATAATATAGATTTTCCTTATAAACAAGTTCACTGTGTTAGAGATGGTCATTATTATCCCGGGTAAAGAGGAAAAATACTGATTAATTGAATGTCAGAAATACATCCACGCAAGGAAAGAAAGATGATTATGAGGTTAATACTCGGTACAGGAATTATTCGGTGTCTAGATGTATTACAAAGTGGCCGGATACACACACACACACACACACACACACACACACACACACACACACGTTCTTACCCAGCATATATATAAATTACATAACTTTATTTTATATCGGTTATACTTTATAATGGAAAAGTCTTTTGTATGATAAATCAGTACTTTTGATTTACGATAAAAACAGGTCGCCAGAGTAGTTATAAAGTGTATGACTAATATATTCTTCCATGTTATTAAATCGAGTAAGTTGTAATTCGTGTGTTGCGTTACGGTTACCTCTCGATTTATGATGACTTTAGAAGATACGGGAAACTCTCATTTCCATATGAATCAATATCTTACTTCTTGTTGACACCGAGGTTATATTATACACCACAGAATGAAACTTGGATTTCAATCAGCAGACTTCCCCCCCCCCCCATCCCCCTTCTCACAGCCTTGACAATTGAACCAGGTCGTGGGAAGTAAGTTTGGGTGAATGTGTGGTGGAAAACTTCTTGTGGTTGACGACAACAATCTACTACCAAGGTTCGCTCAGGACGCGGTCAACAAATATCCCGCGACTCAGGTCTTATTTTGTCACATAACATACCCGGTACTTGGTCACTCTTCGTCATGACCCACACAACTATTGGTAATAAACACTTTGTTGATCTGGTGTATATAATCCACTACACATTCATAATTTATACCGTAGCTGCACAGGATATAAATGTCAATTAATTTATACCTGTCATGCACCTGTCATGTTTGAACTGACACCAACTAGACAATACTAATGCTCTTCCTCCAGTTACCTGTCTTCATTACCTGTCGTCACTTTCACAACACAATTATCGATCATTATCATTAACCAATTATCACCTTTATTTTGTTTCGTTTCTGTTATTCAAATATGTTTAAGTTTTCTATTCCTGATTCTTGTTTGTGTTATGTTTCTGTCGTCATTATTCAATATTGATACTGGCTGCAGTAGAGAGTCATGCTGGTCCACTGTGATCGTCCACACACACACACACACACACACACACACACACACACACACACACACACACACACACACACACACACACACACACACACTTTTCATCTACAGTCTGAGTCTTGAATAATCTGTCTTTCATTCTAAATCAAAATCGTTTCAGCTAAGTGTAATTCATTGTTATTTGTGTGTTAGGGGTATGTAGCACTACTGCTTCACGCCACCACTGTCACCACCAACATCAATACCACCACACCACACACTACCACCATCAACACAACTACACTAGATGAAGGCGCCTCTGTGTCGCCATCCACTCTCCCCACTACCACCTAGCCATGAGATATAACCATACTAACACTAACAAACATTTCTAATAATTCTAATAAACTAGTAAATGATTCACTTCCAAAAAGACAAAAGAATCGATGAAAAGAAGTCTTGGCAACTATCAGACTCGGAGATTACTTACGCTGTGTTACCTGTCCTGAGGTAAATATGTCTAAAGTTAATTAATATCATTTCTATTTTTTTTGTCATTTAATATTGCCGAAAAGAAAAATATTATTCCTTGTGGTTATCAGCATATATATTAATTCGTATATGGTTGAATATGTTGTATTGTATTGCCCTCGTATCATAAAGGCTTACCTTACTAAAAGAAGAACCACAGTTTAATAATCTGACCACAATTTAGCTATTATACTTATATGTTTCAAGTCAACATAATCTACACCTTCACCCTATTCTTGCTATTCACTCCTGGTTCTTCACTCTCTCTCTATTTTCCATCTGTCACCTTTCACCTACACTGACCATCTCAAGGTGTCTCCAGAAAAACCTTCCCCCCTCCCCTATATAATACAGCAGACAAATATTCACATCTCTTGGTCTTAAGTTGAATAAATATTATTTTTTTCATAAACCTCAGTGATCTGTCATCATTATCCTACCAACACCCAGTTTTATTCCACCCTCCCCCTCCCCCCATATAAATAATAATAATAAAAATTTGCATTCACGTGAAATATCAAAGGCATTATATCTTAGTCAACCTCTTGGAACCCTTCACTGACAGCCCATATTTATCTTTCTCATATCCCACTCACCCGCCCGGACACATAATATTTGTCACGTGTTGTTGGGGATGATTCACCGGCGTCGTGTGAGGCAGCTTGCACATTGAGTCAGATGATGTATAGCCAAGATGGGAAGACCAATTCAAAACCACCATCTAGTCACTCTTTACGACTCACTGGAATACAGACGGTCTATTTCCTGTTCGATATTGGCTGAACCAAAGCTTTAGAGTACGACGTAAAAGATGAAATATCAGAAATAAGAAAATGTGAATGTGATTCTTGATCCAGGCAATAACACGTACATAGCGTCTCATATTTTTCCCTTTATTCACCCTTGTAGTTACTGCTGATTGTGAGCTATGGTCTGGCTTTAAGTTCCTCTTTTCTTTGCCTCTACATAAGGGGACCGTATGTGCTTCAGAAACAAAATCAAGCCAGAGAAGGAACTTACACTGCCTACAAGGAGTTTAAGGCCATAACATACTTTCATAAAAATGGGATTCAGATGAAAGTATAGATACATAGAGAAATAGGAAGGGTCGTGGGGGATAATCTCACCTTGCTCACGTGAATTATCCAATATTTAAGGACAAAAATCATTAATAATGAGTCAAAATGAATGACTTACTATGATTAAAAAAAATTTCATTTGAGAATGAAAGTAACTCCCTAAATAAACTGATGCCCCTCAAGAGGAGCACGTGGAGGACTAAAGGAAGATAATGAGACACCCATGTGTGCTTCTCTCACACGTATTGTGTTTAATTAAGTTGACTCTACTCCCTCAGGATCCAATATTAGACAAATGAGGAATAAAATGGTTGGCTGTCCAATTCAAATTACACTCATGGATAACAAGCAGATCCAAATTAATTGACAATTCAAAAATAACTAATTCCTGCCAATAAATTACCTAAATCCAATTCAACTTTTCAAGGACGTTGAAAAATTCTGAAAAATTTTGATTTACGTAATTAATTAGAGGTATTGGAAACTATCGCAGTTCTTTTGAATTGCGTGGTTTTTTTTTTTTACTATACCACCTGTGCTTCAGTGTGTTCGAAACTAATGACACTGTTGCGGAATCATGTGAAAAACTTCTGTTGTGGTCAAGAAGAGAGGAACTGGGAGACGTGGTAATGTTTCCCAGACTGGGTCAATACCTCGACCACAAAGGCGAGGTATTGTTTGATGACGAGGAGGAGGACGTTGAGGAGCGTCACCTGAAACAGCTTGGAGGAGAATTCAAGAATTACTTCCCTGATCACGACAACCACAAGGACGAATGGATCAGGAACCCATTTAATGTCCTGGAAGATACAAAGGCGGGCGATGATTTTCCCGCGAAAGAAGTGTTTATCAAACTGTGATCTAAGGAACGCTCGAAGCTGGAATTTCCTACGAAAGAGCGCTACTCCTTCTGGATATAAACCGCTGCAGAGATTTCCAAACTTGTCCAGAAGAGCCTTGAGCATTCTAACTCAATTTTCCAGCACTTGTATATGCGAATTGGTTTTTCTCCATTGTTCTTGGCTTAAAAACAAAGAACCGCGATCGACTGGTAGTGACCCTCTCATAGAATGTTCACATATCCATCAACTACGAGTGATAGCACCATATATCACTTCACATTCTGCTCGTAAAGCTATTCTTAAATTCTCTACAGATATTACTGGACGTTAACAAACATGCAGCTCTGATATCTGGCGTAAAATAACGTTGTTTTTTTTTTCTTCTGATATCCGGGTGATCGAGTAATTCATTGGAAGTAGAAAGACCTTCGGCATTGCTATTGCTTTTCTCTTTTGAAGCATCTCGCTGATGATAACAGTTGTGCGAATATCTAAGGCATTTTGTTCTTCACATTCACCATCAACCATGTCGGTATTCTGTAAGGTAACCCAGCTTGTACAGTTCCTCAACAGCAACAGAATTATTACGTTTTTTTTTTAATTTCATCATCCAATTATGTATCGAAAACGTTATCATGTCTACCAACTCGTCACCAAAGAAGACAGGGCACTACACTGTAAAAAATCATTACGTGGTTCAGTATCTTTCAACATATTTAATAAATGTTAAAATACCTTGTAATTGCAGTCTCTAACTTTAACTATTTCAGATGGCCAGGAAATCAATTTGAAAAGTGAGATATTAAATTTTTCACTCGTATAGATAAATCTCAGTTAGTATTGAATAATTTTAAGAGAATTATACAGTATCCTCTATGCCTGAATACTCTCCCTCCCAGTGCAGTATCAATATAATCTATCAATGTATTAATATTTCCGGTATATTATTCAAAGCCACAGTCAAAAACGATATTTAAATAACACACACACACACACACACTCTCTTTCTCAGGTTTTATATGATACATCACGCTATTAATTATCTGTCATATAAGAAAACTAATTTAACTTATGTAGTAGCAAAGGTTTTTTTTTTATGATTAGTGTTGGGTGAGTAATGATGGGAGGACGGGACGGTGGCAGACCCTGGCAGTAAGATACACAGTCACTAACACTCTCTGGCACCTTCCCTCTCTCATCACAATTGATCACCAAAGTCACTAGGAATTAGCAAAGTTATTCTATCCTTCTAGTCCACTCTCCCGTGTGTGTGTGTGTGTGTCCCCCCCCCCTGACAATTAGCTTACATAAAGAACAAAAAATATAATACCCGAAGACATCTTTTTTACATTAGCACATTTCTTAAAGTTCAATAAAACGATAACTAAATATATCAATAAAGTAAGTTATAATTTGTGAGTCAATTACCTGTACCTGAAATATCGCTGTTACCTCCAGCTCAGGTGTGGAGGTAAATCAGTTTAACACTTCATTATGTACACGAGAATAACTAATGAAATGATACCTCAAGGGGTTTACATCTCTTCCCTTATAGTTTATTCACGTCATTAGAGTTTACTTATGTGATTACTATATTGAACCGGCTGAAGCCAAGCGTAACGTAGGACTAAAACATACATGATTAGAAAACATATCATTAACCCCTTGAGTATGATGACATAAGCACTTGAGTACGATAACATTTTACTATGTAATCTGGGCTTTATTACACTTGTGTCTACAGTATTTCACGGCTGACATCCGAAAGATTCTTGTAATGTTAGGTATTGTGAAGAGAGAGGTACAGTGTCTTGAGAAGCGAAAGAACACACATTTATTTGAGGTTTATTAGGCTAATGAATTATAGGTATTGTCCATCAATACTGTACATGTGAGTGTGTAAAAAACTTACTGTGTATAAGAACAGTGAGGTCAGCTTAACTAGTTACCTTAAACTAAGTGATTTCCGTAACCTCGAGATGTCTAGACTTGTGTTTCCGTTCACACATATTGTTTATTCAGGTCCGTGGGAGAAATTATTGTGTTATCCTACATTAAAGCTTTGGGGTCACTTAACACCACAATCATAATATCGGACGTTCATTTGTTTTAGTACTCACAGAATATTGTTGAATATAATGGCAGCGCGCATAGTAGAAAAAATATTTAGGTGAAATAAAAAAATTAGATTCGTTTTCCAAGTAATGGATGATTGATTCTATCATAGTGAATTAAATGATTTAAATTTGCATAATTCCAATTTGCAGGGCTAAACTGATATGATGATTTACATTTAATAGGACTTACTAATTCACAGAAATACGTTGATAATGTGTTGTCAGCACGATGGCGCGTTATAACGATTTTAATAACTACAGTAAAATGATATGATATTACTATGGTAGCCTTATTACGAAAGCTCATGGTGTAAAAAAAAGGTTGTTTTTTTTCAGAAATAAGAGACAACATTCTTGCTACAGAATGTTTAGTACCCAAAACAAGACATAGTGTACAAGGTGTCCACATTGAAATGACACAACCTTGAGGCATTATAAATTTTCATTATGACTCCACAAGAAATGCGTGTTATTGATGGCCGAACTGAAATTACCTACCCTGGTGCAACGACGATTCTGTACAACGTTTGGCAAGGACGTTGATGTACAACAGAATGGTGAAGAAGAGCCTAAACATCGGAGGAGGATGTTGACGCATAAATGCTGCTTACTCCAAAAAGGTGCAGGAAAATGTTCAGCTGAAAAATCGCATCCCTAACCCCCGAGGTGTTAAAAAATGTGTGAAGGGAAATTGAGTACCGTTGGGACTCTGTCGGTGTTACGAATGGTGGACTTGTTGAAGGTCTTTCCTTACGTACCTTAATGTACCCATACACCAAATGAGACTCAAATATACTGACTATGAGCTGTGTAAATATTCCTCTGTTTACATTATTCAATAAAACATTCTAAGGCTTCAAAGATGTTTCATTTTAATGTGGACTCCCGGGAAAAATATAATACTGGCGTGACTCCACACGACACAGCTGGTGATGTACTCTGGTACTTACAACACAATGAGACCAAATAGAACATTCTGGTACTGGTAGCTTCGTGACCAGGCAGGACATTCAGGGTGTAATTGGCCGTTCTGTTGCAGTATAATTCATGGCCTTGTGGGGTACTTAGTTCTCCCAAGCGAGAGTATAAATTTTAGATCATCGTAAAACAATCTTAAGTAAAGTGCATGTTTATCCAAATTTAATACCGGTATATGACATTTTCTAAAGACAGAAACTTATAATTGTATTTGGTTTTGATGAATTCATAGTTTAAACCTATGTTTTTATAATCAAACCTTAGATGATACACCCACCAGGATACAGTGGCCAGCACTAACGAGATCCTCTGCCACACACCCAAGAACCACAAATTTAACTTAATTACATCTCATATTAGAAGGCGAGGAGTCAGTTCAAGCAGTGGGAGTATGTAAGCACTAGGGAGGAGGGGCCTTCATAATCGTATTTCTCTCCTGCAGTAAGGTTTGGGATTATGTCGTTTATTAATAGAATTACGCCCCTATATGCTAGTATCGATAACCTGTTAACTTCGTAATGGCTCCCCGGCGAAGGTGCTGACGACGGCAACTCTGTAGGAGAGAAAAGTTTTCCCTTTTGAAAACTTTTGCAGTGTAAATAATGCTCGGTGCGCTAGACGGATGTTATTCTGTTCTGTTCTCTTTTTTATATTGATCACGACCAGTAAACACCCATGAGGTAACTTCCTCTCGCGACTAAAGTTGAAAAATATAATATAAAGAACTACTGAGGTCAATCTTGCCTCCAAGCTGTAGGTTATTATATCTTGGTGCACAGTCTGGATAGTTTATATCCTGTTATATAGTTTATCATATATCCTGTTACATCTTGCCGTTAGACCTTCTAGTTATATTTGTTTACTGTTTTGTTTATGTAATTTGTATATACTGCAATGTGTAGACTGCAGAGCTTAACTATAAATTAAGAACTGTTTATTCCAAGTTTATTCCTGTCACAGCCAGAAGTTTTGTACCGTAATTAATAAACCATTTCAGTTATTCACTTCCTCTGGTGTTTAACCTTAGACTGTTGTGTTGACCAAATGCTTACTTCTTGTCCTCACTTAAGTTACTCGTGAATTATTCAGAGAATTTTATTTAAATGAGGAATTGGCATTATTTTAGGAGTGTGAAATGACTTCATACCGCTGTACAGATATATTATTTTGATATAAAAGTAAAAAATGCATATAATAATAAAATACAAGAAAATTAATAATCAAAACTGTAATCAAAGTATTGGCGATTTAATTTAAGTGACCTATTAATCTGAGTGACCTGTGCTTTTATCCCTCACACCACCTGATAAGCCTCCACTAGGGTACACCCAATGCCACACACCTCCACAAAAGACAATGTGGCAATGCACAACTCTCTACCACACAATTATGATACAACTCTCTAGGTTTACAACGAAGGTCCTTAAGTGAGTAATAAGATTAATAATCCACCAGTCCAACAACATTATGCATTTCCTCTTGATTTACAGTTATCTAAGACTTCAAGATTATTTCACAGGGATTGTGACTAACATTACATAATAACAAGAATAGTCAAAATTAATCGCACATGTCTTACAAATCCTGGTGAGTATACCATTATCTAAGTATTCTAATTCACTTTTCGCAAATAATTCATCTTTAGAACATCGTAAAAATTCAGCCTTGATATTAAATTAACTTACTAAAGACTAACTCAGCTTTATTATACCATTTGTTTACATGTTTACTAACGTATATCTATGTTGCCTCACCTCTCCACACTACAAATTACCACAAAGCCCAATTCTCCACTTTTTTTTCCAGTATAGACGTCCTCACTTCAAGCCTCCACAAAAGAAAACTTCCCACCACACACTCACAAGTAACACTCCGCTAGGTATGACTCCCTGCGACAAACCTCCATCAGGAACACCTCACAACTCTCTTCTCTGGACATGACTCAACTAGTTAACTTCCTAATGGCAATTCTCGCTCAACAGTTGCTAATTGGACAAGTCCCTACTGGACACCTCTTAATTGGACAACTCACCACTGGACAGCTGGCCGCCTTATTATTACTAGTGAACAACGTTTGGTCCCAATAATTCTAGAGGATAACTTTCTCGGTGAATAACTCTCTCCACCTGGTGTTGTGTGTGAACTCTCTTTTACTAACACACTTACTAGATTTATTCATTCCGACTCTCACTTTATTGTATCTATCTGTAAAGAGCATTTGATTCCATTTTTTTTTCTACTGTAAAATATCGCCATAATAATAATAATCTTTCTCGTACTTGACAATAAACTTAAACGTAGATTCACAACAAATTGAGTGACAGCATCAATATATTTTTCATGACACTCCTTCCCACACCTACTCACCAGTTTCCAGCTCTCTTATCTGGGCTAAAACCTCTCAACATCGATATAATTGAGGAAATATTATATTGTTGGGGAATATCAGGTCTTCCCTTCATAGTAATCTTAAATATCTACATCATTTCAGAAATATGACTTGTTAGATTGTCTCTTATAATATAAACATAACTTGAGATCTACTATTATTATTAGACCTTCACAATGCTATTTGATATGAGCTACACAAGGAGGGTTACTCAGTGGTTACCCCATTGTTTCCATTGCAGATTGACACATTTTACTTTCATTATATAATCCAGTTTAGAATCCTCTTCAAACATGTTGTACAAAAATAGAAAAGATTACCTATATAACTGTTTCCCTATAACATTCCTACAGTTAGTTCCAAGTCTCTATGATCCTTCTTCTTCTTCCCCTCACTTCACTCCTACACATTATTCTTTAGTCCCTCTCTTTGTGTCACAAGCTCAAACCACACGAGTTTCTCTGTTCCTTGTCAGCTACTCCAGACAAAGGGTCGCACTGCTTTCCGAAACCTAATTTCTTACCCTCGCTTCTTTGTGGAACTTACATTTGTATCTCAGAAATACATTAAAACTGACCATATCAGTTCTATTCGCCAGTTAACTATATCATAAAGGATTCATGTTTCAGTGTCAGGCCTCAGAGCAGCACTAACAAACCTTATGGCATCTATTGTTGTCTTCCTTGGTAACTAATCGTCAGCCCTCGGCAGTTGTGTACCTGTGAGCAGTGTACAGTACAGCAGATTCGCCTTAGTTTCCAGGAATTTCTGTATATTTGCTTCTCATATTGCATATTTTCAATTTTGTGACCCTCTTCCTCCTTCCCCACTCAGCTATATTTCACGCCTTGACTCACCCTCTGCAATACAACTACAGTATGTTGCACTTGATGGAATTCACGTTCAACTTTCTTTCCTTGAGCAATCGTATGTTCGTTTAACATATCTGTATGAAAATATATAAAAATACTTTAAGAAATAACAAATGAATATTAGTATCTGTGATGCTAGAAATAATTTAATATTAATAGAGTGTTAATATAGTTTGTTGAACAAGTAATTAATATTAAAAACGGCAAATTATAAAAGAGATTATTATTAGAACACGTTGAACATATGTTTACTGAA